TATTTGTAATATGCAATGGAGGAAAGAGAAACATGGGTATTGGAAGAAGAAGAAGGAGGAGGAGGAGAAGGAGAAGGAGAAAGAGAAGGAGGAGGAGAAGGAGAAGGAGATGATAAAATCAACAAAGATAATAAAAATAGCCCCACATCAGCCAGCAACACAGATATTATGAATAAATTATAGGAGGCAACACCAAATGACTCACTGTTCCTGACTCATGCTGCTGAGAGGGCCGATGATCACTGAGACCTACCCACTCTTATACTCTTACACACTCTTACACTGTCACTTTCCAGTTATCTCCTCCTGTGAGTCCAAAGACCTGCAAAGTATGTGAACGACTACCACTGGTGGGTTACTCACTCACCTACTCCTACAGGGAGAGGCAGGAATGGTGTTTAAACACCTAGGGAATGAGGAGAAAGAGACGGGAAATGTTAAAAAAAAAAAAAAAAACAAACTTGCCCTCTGATCCCTCAAATTCTCAGCTGGGACCACCCGCATCTTCTCATGTTCTCCAACTTAGTAAAAAAAAATAGCAGTGCCCATGTAGGTAAAAATGGACAGGGTAGTGAGGCCCGGGGGCACGTGCATGTAATCCCAGTGACTCAGAAGGCTGAGGCAGGAGAATTGCAAGTTTGGGGCCAGCCTCATCCCCGTGAGACCTTGTCTCAAAGTGAAAAATAAAAACAGGCTAGGGATGTAGCTCAGTGGTAGGATGCCCCTCGATCCGATCCCCAGTACCACCAAGAGGGGACAAATGGACAGGGTTCAAATGATGCTTCTTTAAGAGAGTTTAAGGAAATGTGGAAACCAAGTCTATGAAGAGAAGTTGCATCTTGTCTCATTTCTATTTGGATTTGAGGGAAGAAATACTTAGACTATAGTGGGGAAAGCACATCCATATTTATATTCAAAATGTAGTGAATACAAAAATAGGAAAAGAAGAACTTAAATTATCACTATTTGCAGATGACATGATTCTATACCTAGCAGACCCAAAAGGGTCTACAAAGAAACTATTAGAGCTAATAAATGAATTCAGCAAAGTGGCAGGATATAAAATCAACATGCATAAATCAAAGGTATTCCTGTATATCAGCGACAAATCCTCTGAAATGGAAATGAGGACAACCACTCCATTCACAATATCTTCAAAAAAAAAATAAAATACTTGGGAATCAACCTAACAAAAGAGGTGAAAGACTTATACAATGAAAACTACAGAACCCTAAAGAGAGAAATAGAAGAAGATCTCAGAAGATGGAAAAATATACCCTGTTCATGGATAGGCAGAACTAACATCATCAAAATGGCGATATTACCAAAAGTTCTCTATAGGTTTAATGCAATCCCAATCAAAATCCCAATGGCATTTCTTGTAGAAATAGAGAAAGCAATCATGAAATTCATATGGAAAAATAAAAGACCCAGAATAGCAAAAACAATGCTAAGCAGGAAGTGTGAATCAGGTGGTATAGCGATACCAGACTTCCAACTATACTACAGAGCAATAGTAACAAAAACAGCATGGTACTGGTACCAAAACAGGCGGGTGGACCAATGGTACAGAATAGAGGACACAGAAACCAATCCACAAAACTACAACTATCTTATATTTGATAAAGGGGCTAAAAGCATGCAATGGAGGAAGGATAGCATCTTCAACAAATGGTGCTGGGAAAACTGGAAATCCATATGCAACAAAATGAAACTGAATCCCTTTCTCTCGCCATGCACAAAAGTGAATTCAAAATGGATCAAGGAGCTTGATATCAAATCAGAGACACGCCGTCTGATAGAAGAAAAAGTTGGCTACGATCTACATACGGTGGGGTCGGGCTCCAAATTCCTCAATAGGACACCCATAGCACAAAAGTTAATAACTAGAATCAACAAATGGGACTTACTCAAACTAAAAAGTTTTTTCTCAGCAAAAGAAACAATAAGAGAGGTAAATAGGGAGCCTACATCATGGGAACAAATCTTTACTCCTCACACTTCAGATAGAGCCCTAATATCTAGAGTATACAAAGAACTCAAAAAATTAAACAATAAGATAACAAATAACCCTATCAACAAATGGGCCAAGGACCTGAACAGACACTTCTCAGAGGGGGACATACAATCAATCAACAAGTACATGAAAAAATGCTCACCATCTCTAGCAGTCAGAGAAATGCAAATCAAAACCACCCTAAGATACCATCTCACTCCAGTAAGATTGGCAGCCATTATGAAGTCAAACAACAAGTGCTGGCGAGGATGTGGGGAAAAGGGTACACTTGTACATTGCTGGTGGGACTGCAAATTGGTGCAGCCAATTTGGAAAGCAGTGTGGAGATTTCTTGGAAAGCTGGAAATGGAACCACCATTTGACCCAGCTATTCCCCTTCTAGGTCTATTCCCCAAAGACCTAAAAAGAGCATGCTACAGGGACACTGCTACATCAATGTTCATAGCAGCACAATTCACAATAGCAAGACTGTGGAATCAACCTAGATGCCCTTCAGTAGATGAATGGATAAAAAAATGTGGCATTTATACACAATGGAGTATTACTCTGCATTAAAAAATGACAAAATCATAGAATTTGCAGGGAAATGGATGGCATTAGAGCAGATTATGCTAAGTGAAGCTAGCCAATCCCTAAAAAACAAATGCCAAATGTCTTCTTTGATATAAGGAGAGTAACTAAGAACAGAGTAGGGACGAAGAGCATGAGAAGAAGATCAACATTAAACTGGGATGGGAGGTGGGAGGGAAAGGGAGAGAAAAGGGAAATTGCATGGAAATGGAAGGAGACCCTCAGGGTTATACAAAATTTCATACAAGAGTAAGTGAGGGGAAAGGGGAAAATAATATAAGGGGGAGAAATGAATGACAGTAGAGGGGGTAGAGAGAAAAGAGGGGAGGGGAGGGGAGGGGGGATAGTAGAGGATAGGAAAGGCAGCAGAATACAACAGACACTAGTATGGCAATATGTAAATCAATGGATGTGTAACTGATGTGATTCTGCAATTTGTATACGGGGTAAAAATGGGAGTTCATAACCCACTTGAATCAAAGTGTGAAATATGACATATCAAGAAATTTGTAATGTTTTGAACAACCAACAATAAAAAATTAAAAAATAAAAATAAAAATAAACCATGACAAAAATGCTCAAAAAAAATGTAGTGAATAATTTCAAAGTGTTCAAAACCCTCTAACACTTAAGTCTTAACACCCCAAGATAACAATGAGCCTCAAATTGAGGCACCTCTTCTAGAAGGATATCAAGAGCTAGTTCAAGGTCATCAGCTATTTTATCACTCAACTGGCCCAGCCTGCCACAAAGGACAATTGCAGAGGACCCTATACATCCAACTTTTGACCTCCTCACATAGGAATCTACAGGACATAGAGAAAAGCACGCATCACCTCAAAGATGCTCAGTCCTACTTCTGAGACTCAGAATAGAAAAATAAAACTGAAAAATAAGGAATGGGAACTGACATGGGGATGGGATAGAAGCAGGTGCCATGAGTGTGTGAAAACTTTTGTTTTCACTTAAGAAAGTACCTGTGTCACTTGAGAAATTATATTTCCATTCTGTCTCAGAGATAAACTCTGGAGGGAATACCACAAAACAAAATGCTCCCACAATCTACCCCATTTGCAATATAAAATAACATAACATGGTTATGTTTACTTTAATATAAACAAGTTCCTGGAGAAGTATAAAGTTTGCACTATTTACTGCATGAATTAAAATTAATGGCATTTAATTTGAACTCTGGAATCAGCACAATCCATACCTAAGACAATGGCATTGCAGGTTCTCTATAAAAATAAAAAATCTTTCAAGTGTCCATAGGTCAAAAGGAGGAGTCTTTATGAAAAGTGTATATGGATTTTAAAATGTAGTTATTGAAAACTGTAGTTATGTTCTTTTCCTGCTTAGCCTCTAGGGAATAGCAGAGATTTTTTGCCTTTACTGCAGAGAAAAAGAAATGCACATAGAAATGGATATTATTAAAGAGCTAATATTGCTGGATAATGAAAGGGATCTTTTCTTTCTTTTCTTTTCTTTTGGAAACTTCTTCATTTTTCAATTAACAAGAATTAAGAAAATATTTTCTAAAATGACTGTTACATAGAGCATTTTTTTTTAACTTTGGACAAGGAAAACTCTTTCTCAAGAAAGAAAGCTCTTTCTCATTTCCCTCTCAAGAGGGAAATGAAAGCTGCTATTTTCCTAAGCCCCCTACCACCTACATTCCAATGACCTGTGCTCCATAGCCCTATACCAGACCAGGTCAAGGATGTGACTGTCAGAGACTTCAGACCGAGTGGGAGCCAAAAGAAGTCTCCAAGTCAAAACCGAATGACTCTCATTCCTGGTAACAAAACATCAGGAGCAGAAACCCTGCTTTCTGCCATCCCCAGAATATTAAGAAGAAAAATACGACTGCTGTCTGACATTATTCTAGCCAGATGCTGTATTTGATGAACATTTGTGCTGCGGCTTATTTGTAAGTAGACACACATAACACTGGGTTGAAGGTCTCCTGACAAAAATGTTTAAATCTGTTAAGAAACGCTTCTGCCCACAGCTCTGCGTACGGCATCCTTGACCTCCTTGTTCCTCAGACTGTACACCACAGGGTTCAGGAGGGGAGTGATGATGGTATAGGTCACAGAGAGAAGAAGGTCTTTTTCTACAGAACTCTCCGACTTGGGCTTGAGGTAGGCTATGGAGGCACAGCCGTAATGGACAATGACCACGGTCAGGTGGGAGGCGCAGGTGGCGAAGGCCTTCTTCCGACCGTCAGCAGTGGCGATTTTAAGAATGGAATAGATGATCAGGATATAGGAGATGGTTATGAGGCCTATGGGCACAAGAATCACAAATGAACTCACACCATAATTAATTATCTCATTGACAGTGGTATCAACACAAGAAAGTTTCATGACTGGGTGAATATCACAGAAGAAATGATCCACCACTGTGCCACAGAAGGGCAAATTAAACATGGCTGTCACCTGAAGAGTCGCCATCATCAGGCCAGTGCCAAAGGACCCACATACCAAACTGGCGCACATTCTTTTGCACATGATGACCGTGTACCTCAGGGGCGCACAGATGGCCACAAAGCGGTCGTAGCCCATTGCTGTGAGAAGGAAGCAATTATTAATTGCTAAAGTGACGAAAAAGAACATTTGAGTCGCACAACCTGGTAAGGAGATGGGCTGGTTATAAAAAACCAGACTGGAAAGCATTCGTGGGACAATGACCAGTGTGTATACCGTCTCTGAACTCGCCAGCGTGCTCAGGAAGAAGTACATGGGAGTGTGGAGGTGACGGTCAACACAGGTGATGGTCACAATGATGATGTTTCCAGCCAGAGTGAAAATGTAGACGGTTAGGAAGACCACAAAGAGGGTTGTTTGATGTTTTCCGAAGCTAGAGAATCCCAAGAAGATGAATTCTGTCACTTCCGTGAGGTTCTTTCTCTGCATTCTGCTCTATCAGGGTCTGAAAGCAATAAAACAAATCATCAAGGGGAAACTTCTCATCAGCAACTGGATTTTAAAACAAAGGACAATGATGGCTAAACTGAGAGAGTGAGCTTTTCCCTCCTTTGTGACCGGCAAGTTCTTGTTTAGGGTCCTTGCACAGAGAGAGAGAAAATGTTTTTATGCTTCTTTCAATGTATACATGTGAACGCTATCCCTGCAGAGCAAACTTTCTGCACAGGGAGATTTCTGAGCACATGATCATCTCACAGACACTTCTGATGTCAGAAAGGGAAGGGAAACAGCGAGGAGAAAGTCAGGTTCTGTTCCAATGCATAACAATATCGAGCACTCAAACCCTCTTAACAAGAACGATTAAAGTGCATGTCAAGGAAGCCATAAAGATAAGTGTTTGGGAACAAAACAATATAGCAGTATGAAGTCTGCAAGCTAGACAGACTTTGCAAAGCGGTTGTTGGATTTGACGATAAGAACCTTTTCCACCGTGTTTAGATTGAATTCTGAATGTAAGAACTTGATTTCGGAGAGGTAATAGGGTCCAGATGTTTCATCAGACCCTCAAAGCAGAACAATGACAAAATGTCTTCTGCAATGATCAGTCCACCAAAATTGATCACTCCAGTCCCATCCAAAAAAAAAAAAAATCTCTTTTATTGATTTCAGTAGTCCTTTTGAATGAGTCAGGAAGACAGGGTTGTGATTGAGAACTGAGAAAATATTGTTTAGTTTTAACTGTAAGACAACTTGAGACATAGACAAGGAAATATAAACTCCACAGTTGAGAGGAGGACAGATTCTGCCAGCAGTTTGGAACCCAACTGACATCTATTTTTAAAAATTTGATGAACGGATAATTTGATCTAATTATAGGAAGCACCACACAGTAATCCCCTTTGTTTGGAAGTGAGCACATATACCTCCCTTTGGGAGGTTGAGGCAAGATGATTCCAAATTCAAGGCCAGACTGGACAGCTTACAGAGACCCCACCTCAAAATTAAAACTGAGAAGGTCTGGGGATGCAGCTCCGTGCCACTGGGACCCTAGGTTCAATCCCCAATGATTTTAAAAAAAAAAAAAAAGTGGGGGAAGCATATATATGTTGTATGGAGACCATGCAGCTGATCCTGCGGCTCTCTACAGTGATGGTTTCATTGATCTCTCCTCATTTTCAGAATAACTGAAATAGGCTTCCCTCCCCCATCCTCCATAATTCTTTCCAAGTTGTCGTGAGCATAATCATGCTCGAGAATCTGTTTGCTCACATGTGGCTGAAGATGTGTCCATTGCTGAAACTGTTAGACCTTGCTTTTTCGTGCCTCTCTGCATCGTTTGATGTTTCTGACCCCTGCCTCCTGGAAACATTCTCTGACCTTGGTCTCCATGATGACACATCTCTTGCCCATTTTTCCAGCACTCATGCAGTTACCTTCCACCAACCTGCTCAGGCCACCCACAGCATGATTACCATCTCCTGTCCTCTGGTTGACCCTTGGCCCTTGCTTTTTCTCTTTCCATAATATCCCTCACATTTTTTTTCCTGTTATTTCTGTTATTGCTCAACTCTCTATTTCCATCACCAATCTTTTCCCCATTTCTCCAACTTACCTCTCTCTTGGCTTTTCTATCTGTGTGTCTTGCCATCATAATGAATTTTATACTTTTGAAAGTGAACTAAACACCAACATTTTTCGGGTTTTGTGACCTCCTCAATGACTTCATCAGAGTTCCAACCAATCAGTAGTTGTCAGTATTTTGGAGCCACATCTACTCAACATCACATTCAGTGGAATTTTTCCTTAAAGTAGATCTCTTTTCTGTCCAAATTTCTAGATCCACAATGACCCACTTCAGATTGGGGAACCCAATTCTCTATTCAGGATAATAAAACATGTTCCCACTCTAAAATGCATATGGCTACACAGAGGATTAAGCAAGCAAACCAGTTTTGAAAAATAAGTACAAAATGAAAAGACTCACCCTAATTCATTGAGAGATTCTAGTAATCAGGACAGTGTGGTATCAGGTGCAGGACAGACAATGAAAGAAAATGTAGAGTCCAAAAACAGAACCAGAATTATATGTTCAATTCATTTTTCCATAAAAATGGAAGGCATCTCAATGGTAGTATTTTCAACAAATGTCGGTAGAACACGTAAACATTCACATGGGGGAAAAAAATCAATCTCAAACTTTACACAAGACAAACACAAAATAACCCGATATGAATCACAGAAATGTATAAGAGAGAAAACTACAAAAGATCTAGATGAAAATAAAGGATGAAATCACTATGACCTTAAAATAAGCAAAGAGTTCTTGGGTAACAAAAAGCATAATTCATAAAGAACAAGATCACAAACTGAACTTTATCAGAACTAAAAGCTTCTACTTTTCAAAAGACATTGTTGAAAAGACAGGTGCATAAATTTTGTCAAAACTCACCTAAATTTTTACTTAAAATTGGCAAATTTTGCTTATTTATATTGCATTCAATTGTATTCGTTGTATCCTAACATATCAAATTGTACTATACCATATTTTATTGTACTGTTTTATATTGTACAACATTAAAGTTAATTTCTAATGAGATTCTTATTTGTCCATGAGTAAGATTTGATTTCTGCAAATCTGTCACTGCGAGACTTACAATTCTTTGAGTGGATTCACTATGGTGTCCTTCACTCCCTGGTACCCACCCAGATTATAAGTCCTCAGTGCTTGGAAGTACATCCTCACCCATCCCAATACATTTCTGGTATACAGCTGCTAAAAATACTATATTCTCATTCTCAGCTTACATAGAAAAAATTTAAATCTATCAAACAAGAATGGGTCTATTTTTAATTTTTAAAATTGTTTTAGAGAAGTATTTCAAGACAGCTCATTGCTTATCAATCACTTCCATGAAATCTACTCATAACAATCCCACCCCTCACTTCCCTGCCTTTCATAAAGCCTGTGCCCAGTGCGGTACTCGCATCTGCTCACACCAAACCACCAGAACAGATTGCACACATCGCTTCCCTTTCCTAACTTCACGGTCAACAATTTCAAGTTGAGAGATTGAAATCTTTTATGAGGAAATAGTTTGTATAAATATGTCAAGATATCCTCAACTCTCATGGATAACGAAAAAGAACAAATTTTAAAAACTGATTAAGAAGAAATAGTTTTATTAACACAAAAGTTAGCAAACACTTAAAAAAATCAAGACTTTTTTTTTCTTTGAGAGAGTTGGTTGTTAAACATTTACCTAAAAACCATTGCCTTTATCCCAGTACCATATACAGTAGATTAGCCTTTATTATCTTGTATCATTGTCTATTTTCTTCTTTGTGTTAGTTCCAATCCCCAAATTGGAATGTAAACTCTATGAAAACAAAATGTGCTAAGACTTCTATATCATCTGAATCCTTCACATAATGCACTCGGAATAGCCCTCAGTAAGTACTAGCTGATGGAAGAGTAGGAAGAATCTGGAATTCCCCATGGTAATGTGATTGAAGCAATTCACCAAGGGGACTGAACTGGCTACCCCTGAAAATAATGGGACCCAAACAATGAAGGATGCTTCTCTACAGTATCCTGGGGTAAATTGCACTGTTTTTCTTCTCGATCCTTCTTTGCATTTTTCCATAGAGACACAGAACAGTGAGAGCTGAAAGCTAACTTGGAAAACAAAGTGTTGCATGAGAGAGAGGAGGGTCAGTCAGTTCCGCTAATTTTGACTTAGTGGTCAATCATTTCAGAACTTAGCAGAGACCAGTTTCTGAGCTGTCCATCAGGGTCAGATCCTTATTAATTGACATTTTCAACTCCTTGTCTCTTTCAGGTGGCAAATGTGTTTAACTGTCCACATTAGAGTACAGCATAGGGTTAAGAGAGAGAGAATTTTAACATTTATTTTTTAGTTTTCGGCGGGCTCAACATCTTTGTTTATATGTGGAGCTGAGGATCGAACCCGGGCCACACGCATGACAGGCTAGTGCACTACCGCTTGAGCCACATCCCCACAGCATAGGGTTAAGCAAAGCATCTTTAAATACCCACATGATCATCCTGGATCCTGTCTTCTTCCAGGTATCTGTAGATTTTAAGCTCATTAGTTCTTGAATCAAGTTCTTGAATCAATTCCCATTCCTAACACCTAACTGTGAAACTGTGAGACACTTATCTTGCCGACCCTCATTCTCATGAATAAATAGGGTAGTAATAGTACAGACCTCCGGAGAATATTGTGAGGATTAAATGAACTAATCCATTCAAAGTGCTTACTTAGCACACATTAGATGCTCAATAATTGGTATCTTTAAAAATCATCTTTCGTGTGACTCTATAACAGGAGAAAGTCATCCAAGATTTTTTGAAAAGTCAACAAAAAACAAACAATAAAAAATAGTGTGAGACAAAGAAAGATGGGAGAGAGAAATAGACACAGAGGTTCAGGTTTTTAGGTTATCCTCCTGGGAAAATAAGAACACTGTAAGAGACTAAAATAAATATTTAGGGCAGCTTGTGTTTGGGTCATGAAGATTGTGTGCCAAATAAAAGAGGAAATAGCAAAGTTTATCAATGAAAAGAGATGGAAAGACACTATTACAGAGTATATTGATACTTATAAGAAATCATATATCTGATAGTTAAATCTGCACGAACCTGTGAGAGAAAGTATTTAAAATCTGCAAATTAGGACCATCTCCTGAAAATTAATGTTACATGTGAATGAATCTTGCAGAAATGAAACCAAAAAAAAAAAAAAAAAACCCATGGCTCTTCTCTAGAGACCTTGAAACATAAGCCAATTCCAAGATGCCAGAGATGGATCAGGTGGCCTTTTTTAAAAACCTGTGATTAGGATAGCTATCTGAAGAATCCAGAGGAAGGAAATCACTTGATCAGAAGATGAATGTGGGAAAGAATCTGCAAGGCTGTTCCTTTAGGACTTGAGCCCAATTGGCATAACTGTGATGTTTCCCTTCTA